GATGTCGTGGTGAAGTCGTCTGGCTTCACTCCCTCCACTTCTATCACAAAATCTACCACCTCCTGAAAGGATTTTGCTGTAGTAGCTACCTGTAAGGCTGGAATCTGCAAATCTGACCTCAATCCCTTCACAAAACGGCGAATCCGCTCTTGTGGACTGAAGCAAAGCTGGGTGGCATACCTGGATAATGCACGAAACTTAGCCTCATAAGCAGTAACCGACATCCTGCCTTGCTCTAGGCTCAGGAACTCATCTCTCTTCCTATCCCTCAAAGTCCGGGGTATATACTTCTCCAAAAACAAGCTAGAGAATAATGCCCAAGTCATGGGTGGTGCCTGTGCTGGTTGACACTCAGCATACGATCGCCACCACATTTTGGCATTTCCCTGAAACTGATAGGTTACGAACTCAACACCGAATCGTTCCACTATGCCCATCTTATGTAGCAGCTCATGACAATCAACCAGGAAATCATAGGCATCCTCAGATTCAGCACCCTTGAAAACTGTAGCTTTCAACTTCAAGAACTTAGTTAAAAGTTCATGCTGATCACTTGTCATTATAGGCCCTGTAGTCAACCGAGGAAACGTGCCTATTTCCATGGAGGCATCCATGCGAGGAGCCACAGCAGCTGCATGTTGTACTCCCGGAACCTGAGGTGCTGGTGCAGAAAACACTGGAGGTGTCTGGCCTTGATCAGACAACCCGCTAAGATAAGCAAGAACCTGATTAATCATCTCTGGGGTAGGTTGGGGTGGTAATTCCTCATTCTGCACTTGTTCATTCTCCCCTTCCTCACCCTCTCTTAATACATCCTCAGTCGGTGGAGGAGTCACCGCCCTATTACTAGCTGGGCCAGGTGCTTGTCCTCTTCCTCTAGAGGACGTCCTCCCGCGGCCTCTACCACGGCCTCTTGCCACTGCTCCTCTTCGAGCTACAGCCTCAGTGGCTGGTTCAGACGCATCTTGTCTTGCCGGTGTTGGTGTTGGCGCAGTTATTGCTCTAGTTCTAACCATCTGCGAAATAGAGTGAAGATGGTCAGATACCAATTTGTATCACCTAGATACCAATTGGATCCAAGTAATAGCACGAAAGAAAGAAAGAATGGAATATTCCTAAAGTCTTATAGCCTCTCAAAGAAAAGTAAAGGCGTCCCCCTACTGTTTCTCAAGACTCTACTAGACTCGTTCTTGTGTGATGAGACCAACGAACCTAATGCTCTGATACCAAGTTTGTCACGACCCAAAACGAGCCGCGAGTGGCACTCACACTTATCCTACTATGTGAGCGAACCAACAAATCTAAACCCCAACATTTCCACCATTTCAAGCATAATGAACAAAATATAATGCGGAAGACTTAAAACTCATTAACGAAAATCGATTAAATAACTTCTAAAACTCCATACTTATCATTCCCAAAATCTAGAAGTCATCACCACAAGAACATTCTATCCTCAATTACTAAATCTAAGAGTATCTAGGAAGCTAAAATAAGTAAACATATGGTCCATGTCCAAACTTCAAGGACATCAAGACATGATTGAGAGAGGATCCAGTCCGAGCTAGGAACAATAGCTCACCCTGAAATCTGTTGTGATGAAGACTGGCTAGAGTTGAGGAGGAGTTGAAGACGATGGCACGTTTGCTGCACTCCACAAATAACAAAGAAGAAAATTATAAGTAGGGGTCAGTACAAGGCACAAGTACTAAGTAGGTATCATCGGCCAACTCAAAATAGAAAGCAATATATATCAGATAATAACAAAAAATCAACTACCATACTCAACAGGTGACAACAACAAGTACCATAACCATTGGCCACAACCCAAGCACATCTATGAGGACTCAAGCCTCCACACCATACTCATTTGGGAAATAGGTTCTTTAAATTGAGTATATTAACATAATTCAAGATTCATCCTCTTTATCATCCTGGTGTCGGAACGTGACACTCCGATCCCCTAAAGATTCATTCTCTTTATTATCCTGGTGTCGGAACGTGACACTCCGATCCCCTACTACTACGTGTCGGTTCGTGACACCCGATCCCTTAATTCCTGGTGTCGGTAGGTGACACTTCGATCCCCTAATTCCTGGTGTCGGTACGTGACACCTAATCCCCTAATTCTACGTGTCGGTTCATGACACCTGATCCCCTAATCTCAATCTTTTAGTTCATCAAGCCTTCTTTTATACCAAGGCATCATCATTAGCAAAGTGAATTTAAAGTTTAAGATTCACAGCCTCATCTTTCCAATCCATTACAATTACATAATCACATCATGCAAGCACACAATTAAGCAGATAGAAGACTTTAAAATACTACCCAATACATATCATTCGCTATTTAGAGTTTACTATGAAATAGCATAAACCATAACCTACCTCCACCGAAGAATCGTGAATCAAGCTATCTACTTCTCCAATGCTTTTTGCTTTCTCTTCGTTCTCTCTTCTCTCGTTCGTTCGTTCTCCCTTTCTCTTTCTGTCTTTTTCTTCTTTTTCCTTATTCCAACTCTTTTTCTTTTACCCTAATTGCCATATATTTAAGTATAAAAGATGACAAAAGTAACCCACTACTTATTTCAAGGTTATCTCCTTTAACCCCCAAGTAAATAAGTTATTAAACTTATCCTCTAATTCCATACAGTTTGACATAAATAGTCCAAAACACCCCTTTAAAACTTTAGTAGAAAACCGACCTAGTCAAGGTTACGCAGCTCGTGACGGCCTGTCGTGCCTTCGACGGTCCGTCCTGCTGTTTCCGTCACAAGGTTCAGAGAGTCGAATTCATTAAAGAGTCTGTGACGGTCCTCGTGCCTACAACGGTCCGTGCTGCTCTTCCATCGTGAAGTTCAGAGAGTTGTTTCCCCGTACCCAACTTTCAGAGTCTAAGTGTTTTGGAACGAGACCTCCTCGACGGTCCGTCGTATCAATTACAGTCCGTCGTGGGATCCGTCGATCCAGACAGCTATTACCAGAATAAACTCTACTGCTCAAAATGACTAAACAGGTCGTTACAATTTCTAGCAATCGAAGTGATAATTACAATTCAATTTCAAAGCAACACGAAAAAATTTTCTAAAAAATTATTTCCCCTTCTAATAGAATATAAGCCATCAAAAAACACAGAACGTGTTCATACCATATTTAGGGATCAGTTGTTTAAGCAATCCAGCAGATTGAGAAAGTTGTGATTGACAACTCCCATAAGAATCCCCCATTTTTTCTTCTATCGATACTTTAAAGAAAAGTTCACAATAAAAAGAAAAAAAAGGGTACGAGTGAAGTATATAATAAAGAGAGAAAATGTATTTAAGTAGAAACATTGGAGAAGAATATTCTAACACTTGTACTCGGTGCAAGAATTTAAACGTGTAACAATAAAATTTGACGGAGAAACTTAGGATTAATTATTCTATGTGTGGTGTGCGTGTAATCTAACATGTATCTCAAATAGATAATCCAAATGTTTTTTTATTATTTTTTTTAAGAGGACTACATTTTAACTTTTATTTGAAGATACATTGAATTAGATCAATTGTTAAATAAATAGTTATTAGAAACTATACATGAAAAGTGTTAAAAGTTATTTTTCGTGTTACGTCAAATGCTTGAAGTAATACTGATCAAAATTTATAATATTTGAATCTCGAAAAGAAACATGTATCACTTGAATCTGGATAAATAAAATTTATACTCTTTCGGTTGAAGAAGAAAATATTTATATAACTAGTTCTCGAACACGTGCAACGCACGTGTATTTCAAGCTCCGTAATTTTTTTCAAAAGATAATATTAGACTAATTGTGCAATGAGTTATATGAATTTGAAAGGAAAGATTGTCTTTTGTCTAATTCAAATGGGATTATTATGGAGGTTCAATGGAACGTATTTTCTCTACTGTCTCCAAAGTTCGAAAAAATCAAACACATATGACAAAAATATTTTCTTCTAACTTTCGATGTATTTCTCTTTCGTCAAAATCTCATCATTCACCAATCTACAATTGGATCTATTCTAAATGTTTAGATGTAGTTCTCAATCAATGAAAAATAAAAAATGATTTCCGGATGTTATAATTTCTTGCAATCAAATCGATATTACAATTAAAATTTCAAATCAACATGAAGAATTATTTCGCCTCCAACTCGAATATAAGCTATCAAAAACACCAAACGTGTTCATACCATATTTAGAGAGTAGTTGTTTGAGCAATCCAACAGATTGAGAAAGTTGTGATTGATGACTTCCATAAGCATCTCCCATTTTTTCTTCTCTTTACACTTTAAAGAACAGTTCACGATAAAGAAATTGGATACGAGCGAAGTATATAACATAGAGACGAAACGTATTTAAGTAGAAACCTTGAAGAAGAAAATCCTAACACTTGTACTCCGTGCAAGGATTTAGATGTGTAATAATAAAATTTGACGGAGAAATTTAGGCTTTATTATTCTATATGTGGTGTGCCTAAGAATTTACATTTGTATAATAGTACACCCGATAGTTATCTGACACGTAACTCAAATAGATTATCCAGATGTTTTTATTTTTATTTTTATTGTAAGAACACTATATTTTAAATTTTATTTGAAGATATACTGAATTAGATCAATCGTTAAATAAATATTTTGCGTTTTTGTATTATGTTAAATACTTAAAATAATACTGATAAAAATTTATAATATTTGAACCTCGAAAATAAACATGTATCACTTGAATTTGAATAAATAAATTTTTTACTCTTTTTGATGAATTATAAAATATTTATAATACAAGTTCTCGAACACGTCATGCTAAATACTTTTTTTAAATAATATTAAATTAAATGTGAAATGAGTTATATGAATTTGAAAGGGAATATTATCTTTTGTCTGATTTAAAGGGGATTATTATGTCAATTGAATGAAACTTATCTTCTCTACTGTTTCCAAAGTTCGTAAAAATCTAACACATATGACAAAATTATTTTCCTCTAACTTTCAATATATTTCTCTTTCTTCAAAATCTCATCAATCTACAATTGGAACTATTACAAATGTTTAGATGTAGTTATCAGTCAATGAAAAACCAAAAATGATTTTCGAATTTATAATATCTAGCAATATAAGTGACAATTATAATTCAATATCAAAAATCCATGAAAAATATTTTTAAAATATTATTTCCCCTCCTAATCGAATATAAGCTATCAAAAAGCACAGAACTTGTTCATACCATATTTAGGGAGCAATTGTTTGAGCAATCCAGTAGATTGAGGAAGTTGTGATTGATGACTCCCATATGCATTTCCTATTTTTTTTCTTCTCTCTACACTTCAATGAACAACTCACAATCAAAAAAAAGGATACGGGTGAAGTATATAACATACAGAGAAAACATATTTAAGTAGAAACTCTTAGAAGAAAATCCTAATACGTGTATTCAGTGCAAGGATTTAGACTTATAACAATTAAATTTGACAGAGAAACTTAGACTTTATTATTCTATGTTGTGCATTTTATTTGAAGTTAGATTGGATTAGATCAATTGTTAAATAAATAGGTATTTAGAAACTACAGATGAAAAGCATTAAAAGTTGTGATTCATATTATGTTAAATGCTTAAAATAATACTAGTTCTCGAACACGTTCAATGCACGTGTATTTCACGCTAAATAATTTTCTTACAAAAAAATAATATTAGATTAAATGTGCAATGAGTTATATTAATTTGAAAGGAAAAATTATGTTTTGTCTTATTTAAATGGGATTATTATGTTGATTCAATGGAACTTATCTTTTCTACTCTTTCCAAAAATCGTCAAAATTTAACACATATGACAAAAATATTTTTCCTCTAACTTCCAATTTATTTCTCTTTCTTCAAAATCTCATTATTCATTAATCTACAATTGAAACTATTCCAAATGTTTAGATGTAGTTCTCAATCAATGAAAAAACAAAAATGATTTCCGAGTTTATAATTTCTAGCAATCTAAGTAATAATTTCAATTTAATTTCGAAGCAACAGTAAAAAATATTTTTAAAAAATTATTTCGCCTCCAACTCGAATATACGCTATCATAAAACACAGAACGTGTTCATACCATATTTAGGGAGCAGTTGTTTAAGCAATCCAGCAGATTGAAAAAGTTTTGATTGACGATTCCCATAAGAATCCCCCATTTTTTCTTTTCTCCACACTCAAAAGAACAGTTCACAATAAAAAAAGGATGTGTGTGAAGTATATAACATAGAGAGGAAACGTATTTAAGTAGAAACCTTGAAGAAGAAAATCATAAAACTTATACTCGTTGTAAGGATTTAGACGTGTAACAATAAAATTTGACGGAGAAACTTAGACTTTATTATTCTATGTGTGGTGTTCCTGAGTTGTACATTTGTATAATAGTACACCCGATATTTATCTGGCACACAACTCAAAAAAATAATCCAGATATTTTTTTTTTTGGAAAACACTATATTTTAACTTTTATTTGAAGTTTTATTGAATTAGATCAATTGTTAAATAAATAGTTATTTAGAAACTATATATAAATAGCACTAAAAGTTTCGTTTTGTATTATGTTAAATGCTTAAAATAATACTGATCAAATTTATATTATTTGAATCTCGAAAAAAATCATGTATCACTTGAATTTGAATAAATAAATTTTATACTCTTTTTTATCAAGAAGAAAATATTATAATACTAGTTCTCAAACACGTGCAACGCACGTGTATCCCACGTTAAATGCGTTTTTTAAAAAAAAATTAGATTAAATGTGCAATAAGTTTATGAATTTGAAAAGGAAGATTATCTTGTGTCTGTTTTAAATGGGATTATTATGTCGGTTCAATGGGACTAATCTTCCCTTCTATCGCCAAAGTTCGTAAAAATCTAACACATATGACAAAAATATTTTCCTCTAACTTTCAATATATTTCTCTTTCATCAAAATCTTGTCATTCATTAATCTACAATTGGAACTATTCCAAATATTTAGATGTACTTCTCAATATATGAAAAAACAAAAATGATTTCCAGACATTATAATTTCTAGTAATATATGCCACAATTACAATTAAATTTCAAAGCTATATGAAAAATTATTTAAAAAGAATAATTTCGCCTCATAATCGACATATAAGCTATCAAAAAACATAGAACTTGTTCATACCATAGTTAGGGTGCAGTTGTCCGAGCAATCCAGCAGATTAAGGAAGTTGTGATCGACGACTCCCATAAGCAACCCCCTTTTTTCTTCTCTCTACACTTTGAAGAACAGTTCCCAATCAAAAATAGAATATGAGTGAAGTATAGTACATAGAGAGGAAACGTATTTAAGTAGAATCCTTGAAGAAGAAAATTCTAACACTTGTATTCAGTGCAAGGATTTATACTTGTAACAAAAATTTGACAGCGAAACTTAGGCTTCATTATTCTATGTCTGGTGTGCATCTGTAACGACCTGTTTAGTCGTTTTGAGCAGTAGAGTTTATTCTGGTAATAGCTGTCTGGGTTGACGGATCCCACGACGGACAGTCATGGGCACGACAGACCGTCGAGGGGGTCTCGTTCCAAAACACTTAGACTGTGGAAAAATTGGGTACTGAGAACAACTCTCTGAACTTCGCGACAGAAGAGCAGGACGGACCGTCGTAGGCACGACGGACCGTCACAGACTCTTTAATGAATTCGAATCTCTGAACTTTGTGACGGAAGCAGCAGGACGGACCGTCGCAGGCACGACGGGCCGTCACAGGCTGCGTAACCCTGACTGGGTCGGATTTCTGTTAAAAGTTTTAAGGGGTGTTTTGGACTATTCCTGCTTATGATTATAAAGTTAGTGGTTTAATGTTAATAATTTAATTACTTGGGGGTTAAAGGAGATAACCTTGAATTAATTAGTGGGTTACATTTACCATCTTTTATACTTAATTATATGATAATTAGGGTAAAAGAAAAGAGTTTGAACAAGGAAAAATAGAAAGAACTGAAAGAACAGGGGAGAACGAACAATCGAGAGAGGAGAGAACGAAGAGGAAAGCAAAAGCATTGGAAAAGTAGATTGCTTGATCACGATTCTTCGGTGGAGGTAGGTTATGGTTTATGCTATTCCGTAATAAACTCTAAATAGCGATTGATAGGTATTGAGTAATTTTGTAAAGTCTTCTATATGCTTAATTGTGTGCTTGCATGATGTGATTATGTAATTGTGATGAATTAGCATGATGAGGCTGTTGAATCTTAAACCTTAAAACCTCTTTGTTAATGATGATGCCTTGGTATAAAGAAGGCTTGATGAACTGAAAGAATGAGATTAGGGGATCGGGTGTCACGAACCAACACGTAGAATTAGGGGATCGGAGTGTCACGTTCCGACACCAGGATAGTAGAGGATCGGGTGTCACGTTCCGACACCAGGATAGTAGAGGATCGGGTGTCACGTTCCGACACCAGGATAGTAGGGGATCGGACTGTCACGTTCCGACACCAGGATAGTAAGATGAATGAATATTAAGGGGATTAGAGTGTCATGTTCCGACACCAGGATAGTAAAAAGAGTGAATCTTGAATTATGCTAATATACTCAGATTTAAAGAACCTATTTTCCAAACGAGTATGGTGTGGAGGCTTGAGTCCTCATAGATGTGCTTGGGTTGTGTCCAAAGGTTATGGTACTTGTTGTTGTCACCTGTTAAGTGTTATGGTTGATTTTATGTGATTATCGTATATATATTGTTTTCTATTTTGAGTTGGCCGATGATACCTACTCAGTACTTGTTCCTTGTACTGACCCCTACTTGTATGTTTTCTCTTTGTTATTTGTCGAGTGCAGCAAACGTACCGTCGATTTCAACTCAACCGCAACTCTAGCCAGACCTCACATTAATCAGATTTCAGGGTGAGCTATTGTTCCTAGCTCGGACTGAATTCTCTCTCATTCATGTCTTGATGTCCTTGAAGTTCGGACATGGACCATCTGTATCTTATTTTAGCTTCCCAGACACTCTTAGATTTAGTAATTTGAGGATAGAATGTTCTTGTGGTGATGACTTCCAGATTTTGGGGATAGTAATTGATAAATTTTAGAAGTTATTAATTGATTTTGTTAATGAGCTTTAAGTCTTCCGCATTATTTTCTGTTTATTATGGTTGAAATGTTGGGGTTTAGATTGGTTGGTTCGCTCACATAGGAGGGTAAGTGTGGGTGCCACTCGCGGCTCGTTTTGGGTCATGATAAACTTGGTATCAGAGCATTAGATTCGTTGGTCTCATCACACAAGAATGAGTCTGGTGGAGTTTTGAGGAACGGTAGGGGGACGCCTTTACTTTTCTTTGAGAGGTTACAAGACTTTAGGAAAATTCCATTTCTTCTTTCTTTCGTGCTATTACTTGGATCCAATTGGTATCTAGGTGATACAAATTGTTATCTGACCATCTTCACTCTATTTCGCAGATGGTTAGAACTAGAGCAACAACCGCGCCAACACCAACACCGGCAAGACAGGATGCGTCTGAGCCAGCCACTGGGGTTGTAGCTCGAAGAGGAGCAGTGGCAAGAGGCCGTCGAAGAGGTCGCGGGAGGATGTCCTCTAGAGGGAGAGGGCAAGCACCTGGCCAAGCTAGTACTAGGGCGGTGACTCCTCCACCGACTGAGGAAGTATTAAGAGAGGGTGAGGAAGGGGAGAATGAACAAGTGCAGAATGAGGAATTATCACCCCCAACCTACCCCAGAGATGATTAATCAGGTTCTTGCTTATCTTAGCGGGTTATCTGATCAAGGCCAAACACCTCCAGTGTTTTCTGCACCAGCACCTCAGGTTCCGGGAGTACAACATGCAGCTGTTGTGGCTCCCCGCATGGATGCCTCATTGGAAATAGGCACGTTTCCTCAATTGACTACAGGGCCTATAACGACAAGTGATCAGCACGAACTTTTCAGTAAGTTCTTGAAATTGAAACCTCCAGTCTTCAAGGGTACTGAATCTGAGGATGCCTATGATTTTCTGGTTGATTGTCATGAGTTGCTACATAAGATGGGCATAGTGGAACGATTTGGTGTTGAGTTTGTAACCTATCAGTTTTAGGGAAATGCCGAAATATGGTGGCGATCGTATATTGAGTGTCAACAAGCACAGGCACCACCTATGACTTGGGCATCATTCTCTAGCTTATTTATGGAAAAGTTTATACCCCGGACTTTGAGGGATAGGAGGAGGGATGAGTTCCTGAGACTAGAGCAAGACAGGATGTCGGTTACTGCTTATGAGGCTAAGTTTCGTGCATTGTCCAGGTATGCCACCTAGCTTTGCTTAAGTCCACAAGAGCAGATTCGCCGTTTTGTGAAGGGATTGAGGTCAGATTTGCAGATTCCAGCCTTACAGCTAGCTACTGCAGCAAAATCCTTTTAGGAGGTGGTAGACTTTGTGATAGAGGTAGAGGGAGTGAAGCCAGATGACTTCACCCTGGCATCAACAACTAAGAAGTTTCGTAAGGGAGGTGAGTTTAGTGGTTCTTAATCAAGAGGGCAGAGTTCAGGAAGTTACCCAGCCCGACCTATTCAGTTTTCACTGCAGGCTGTAGCTGGGGGTCCACCGCAAACCGGTCAACATTTCTCTGAGTTTGGAGGTTACCCCCAGACTTCGTCATTCTCACAGAGACCTATGCTTGAATCCAGAGAGTGTTATGGATGTGGGGAGACTGGACATATTAGGAGGTTTTGCCCAAAACAGAGTTACAGACCCCCAATAGTCAGAGGTAGAGGTGGTCATGGAAGAGGCCGTCATTCTGGAGGACGTGGTGGCCGAGGTAATGGTGGTCACCAAAACAGCGGGGTGACGGGAAAACTGGAACTGCTGCAGCGCAACATGGTAGGGGCAACAGGCAGACAGGTGATAGGGCCCATTTTTATGCTTTCCCTTGAAGGTCTGAAGCTGAGACATCTGGTGCTGTTATCACAGGTAATCTTTTGGTTTGTGATTGCATGACTTCTGTATTATTTGATCCTGGATCCACATTTTCTTATGTATCTTCCTCATTTGCTACTGGTTTTGATTTACATTGTGATTTGCTTGACATGCCTATTCGTGTTTCTACTCCGGTGGGTGAGTTTGTGATGGTTGAAAAGGTATATAGGTCTTGTCTTGTAACTTTTGTGGGGAGAAATACTCATGTAGACTTGGTTATCCTAGAAATGGTTGATTTCGATGTAATTCTGGGTATGAATTGGCTTTCTCCAAATTTTGCAATCTTAGATTGTAATGCTAAAACTGTTACATTAGCCAAGTCTGGGACAGATCCGCTAGTGTGGGAGGGAGACTATACTTCCACCCTAGTTCATATTATCTCATTTCTTCGTGCTAAGAGAATCGTTAGTAAGGGTTGTTTAGCTTTCTTGACACACCTCAGGGATGATACTACCCAAGTACCTTCAATTGAGTCGGTTTCAATAGTCCGTGAGTTTCCGGATGTGTTTCCTGCAGACCTTTCTGGTATGCCACCGGATAGAGATATTGATTTCTGTATTGATCTGGAGCCGGGTACTCACCCCATTTCCATACCCCCTTATAGGATGGCTCCCGCTGAGTTAAGAGAGTAAAAGGCCCAACTTCAAGAGTTGTTAAGAAAAGACTTTATTAGACCAAGTGCATCCCCTTGGGGTTCTCCTGTTTTGTTTGTGAAGAAGAAGGATGGAAGTTTTCAGATGTGCATAGACTACAGACAACTGAATAAGGTAACTATTAAGAACGGGTATCCTCTTCCTCACATCGATGATTTGTTCGATCAGTTACAAAGTGCATGTACCTTCTCAAAAATCGATTTGAGATCTGGTCATCATCAATTGAAAATACGGGCAACGGATGTGCCAAAAACTGCTTTTCGGACCAGGTATGGACATTATGAGTTCTTAGTAATGTCTTTTGGGCTTACAAATGCCCCTGCTGCTTTTATGAGTTTGATGAAAGGGATTTTTAAGCCATATCTGGATCTCTTTGTCATTGTATTCATCGATGATATACTGGTATACTCAAAGAGCAGGAAAAAACATGAGGAGCACTTGAGAATTGTATTGGAAATGTTGAGGGAGAAAAAGCTTTATGTCAAATTCTCCAAGTGTGAGTTTTGGCTAGATTCAGTGTCCTTCTTGGGGCATGTGGTTTCTAAGGATGGAGTGATGGTGGATCCTTCTAAGATTGAAGCAGTGAAGGGTTGGGTAAGACCTACTAATGTTACAGAAGTAAGGATCTTCGTTGGTTTAGCTAGCTACTACGTCAATTTGTCAAGGGATTTTCCTCTGTTGCTTCTCAATTGAAAAACTTGACTAAGCAGTGTTCC